TGCAGGGGAGAAGGAGGGTGCGTGCTGCGTAGGCAGTGAGGGCAAACGTACAGAGATAGAAAGTATTATAACTCTCTGATAGAGGGAGGGAGGGTGATCTACCGTATCTCTCACCCTGTAGGTACAAACAAACCGAGATAGATCACCTACTCTGCTCCCAACGTCCTCTCTTTCCCCCTCCCCCCCCCGCCAGGACATGGTGCTGCTGCATCACGAGCTGGAGGTGTCATTCCCTCACACACCCTCTCGCCCTGAGTTCACCTGGATCTCACATGTTTTCCTCCTCCCCACCACCCTCCATGCCCCGCCCCTCCCTCCCGCCAGGACATGGTGCTGCTGCATCACGAGCTGGAGGCATCGTTCCCTGACGGCCGGGCCAAGGAGAAGCACTCAGCGACGCTGCTGGCGTTTGGAGAGATGGATTCTGGAGGCGTGTCCGCCATGGCCCGCACTGTTGGCCTGCCCGCTGCCCTCGGCGCCATTGTGAGTTCGAGCGCATGCATGCATGCATGCGCAGACACCTTAGCATACACACACACACACACACACACACACATGCACACACACACACACACACATGCACACACATGCACACACATGCACACACATGCACACACATGCACACACAGGCACACACATGCACACACATGCACACACATGCACACACATGCACACACAGGCACACACATGCACACACATGCACACACATGCACACACAGGCACACACATGCACACACAGGCACACACATGCACACACAGGCACACACAGGCACACACATGCACACACAGGCACACACATGCACACACAAGCACACACCTTGAGAACATGCACGCTTACCTTACGAACACGCACACACCGCAAGCATGCGCACATTCACACACCTTGATCGTGCTCACACTTTCCCCTTGTTCGCCCATCTTCTCCCTTCTTGTCCCCCGTATCTCCCCCATGGTTGACCTGTGCGAGGCAGCTTCTCCTGCAGGGCAAGGTGCAGCAGCGTGGCGTTCTCAGGCCGGTCACCAGCGACATCTATGCACCCTGTGAGCCCATACATGCACCCTGTGAGCCCATACATGCACCCTGTGAGCCCATGCATGCACCCTGTGAGCCCATGCATGCACCCTGTGAGCCCATACATGCACCCTGTGAGCCCATGCATGCACCCTGTGAGCCCATGCATGCACCCTGTGAGCCCATACATGCACCCTGTGAGCCCATACATTCACCCTGTGAGCCCATGCATGCACCCTGTGAGCCCATGCATGCACCCTGTGAGCCCATACATGCACCCTGTGAGCCCATACATTCACCCTGTGAGCCCATACATGCACCCTGTGAGCCCATACATGCACCCTGTGAGCCCATACATTCACCCTGTGAGCCCATACATGCACCCTGTGAGCCCATGCATGCACCCTATGAGGCCATTTGTGCAGACGTTTAGCCCATCTGTGCACTATTTTGGTGTGTTTTCTCGTGCATTCACTTGATCTGTGTACATTGAGCTTTTCTTGCAATCGTTACTCTCCCCTCGCGCTGCCTCTGCCTTGACTCCAGCACTCCCTGCAACCACACTTTCTTCCTCCTTCCTCCCCTCCTCATCCCACCATTTCCCTCACCCCATAAACTCTCATCACACTCTCACCCCTCTCCCTGCTGCCCATTTCTCTCTTCCCAACTTTTCCCATTTGTTCTTCTTCCCTCACCCCCCTCCGTGCTCCTCCCCCCCCACCCTCTCCCTGTCATCCCCCATGCCCGCTCACCCCCCTCCCCCTGTCCCCAGCTCTGGTTGCCCTGGCCAAGCTCGGTGTGCACTGCAAGGAAGCATCGGAGAAGCTTCTCTAAAGGACCTGTGGGCCTCTCTGCTGGCACAGCACAGCACGGCACAGCACAGCACAGCAGGGCATGCTAGACCGAGGGTTCCGACGTCTGTGATACCTCGTTGGTCAACCGATCTTCCAGCAACTGCAACAACATGCATTGTGGGAAGTCACTACCTACTTGGTGGTTTGAAAAAGGGCTCACCAAGCCATGCAGGAGAATCAGAAGCAACGGGTGGATGAGGAGGATTGGAATAGGAACAGGAGCAGCACGCAAGGAATTGTTGGGCGGGTAACTGCTGGAGCTGCAAAAAAAACCTGAACCGCTTTGGATGTGGTCTGGTCTCAAGCACAACCCTGATGGCAGCGTAAGCTGCATCTGCATCTGCATCTCACTCCCAACCAGCCAGCGGGGCAGAATTCCCAGCTGATTCCGAGTTCTCAAGGCATGCTGAAAAGTGCTGACTCCGCGCTAATGTGCAGCACCGCTAGGTCTGGCTGGCTGTTGCGAGGGGGGTTCCAGGTGTTTCCAGGGTTAGCCCATCAGTAAGGTGCCTTTTGTGGTCAGCTGCTACTACTAAGTTCTTGTCTGTAGTTACGGTTTACGGTAGTTTCTTTTGTTTATATCCTGTTTTTTTCCCTGATGTCATTTTGGTACCATGCCAACCAATGTTGTGCAAGCCAGACAGTACTGCTGCTTGATGACAAAGCTGGACTCTGGGTTGAGGAACAAGGTGAAACACCGTATTCAGCTGCTCTCCTTGGACATGCCTCAGGAGTGAGGGACCAACTGGGACCAACAAGATGAGAAATTTTTTATAACAAAAAACATTTTACAGATTGTAATTCGATTTGAAGAGGGGTTTGCTGTAAAGGAGACAAACTCCTCTACCTTTCGGCAGGTCCACAGGACCTGCCACCTAGTCTCATTTTCTGTTTTCACTTCTCTAGTTTACCACCAGCACAGACTAAACCCTTCCTATGCCCAGATCTGGGCGTAGGAATACCTTGTTAGAAGACGTGCTTTCAGTCCGTTTCACTAGCATGGCTAGCGGACTTGTCTCGGCTGCAAGCGGAAGGCCTCCCGCTGCTCGAATGAATTTACGGAGCAGTGGGCGTGGTGGCTCTCCCCAACGTGATGCAGATCGGGACTCCTCTTCACGCAGGGAGCGTTCTCGTTCCCCCCGTGGCGGAAATTCTGCGGCTGTTACTGCTCTCGATTTATTGAATCGAGCACGACAGGCTCCTCCTCAAAGTCCCAGAGCTGCCGGAGGCGATCGCGACGGATCTTCTCGTCGGGATTTTCCTCCCGGTTTTCACGGCAAACGGCGTGTGGACGGGTTACGTGGCGGAGAATCGAACCTGCCTAACGGAAATGCCGCGCCCAATCCCGAGGAGGCTCCAGCGCCAGCAGGAAACGCCACACGCGCGGCACCCTCTGGTCCTGCGCGTGGCGATCGTAATGATCGCGATCCTGCGCGTGTGGACCGAAATGATGACGGTCCTGCGCGTGGGGACGGCGATCGCGATCTCGGTCAAGATCGCAATCTTGACCGTCGCGTGGATCGCCAGAATCAGGACCCAGGGCGAGAATCTCGACGCCTGGATCCTGCACCTCGCCCGGCGAATCCGCGCGCGTCTCAGGGTTTTCGAATCTCGCCTTCGGCAGCAGCGGATTTCGCCGAGATTCTCGCGCGTCTTGACCCAGCGGCCCAGCGAAACTTTCAGCGAATCTTCACGGGAACTGCTGCTGGCGAACGCGTTGCAGCACGCTCCACTGCATCTACAGCGCCCCGATCGGCAGAACATTATTCTGCTCGTTATACAAACAACGATGTTCCTGCTGTCACCAACAACGACGCCATTCATCATGTCATCGGCCTCCTCGCAGCTCTTCAGCGCGGAACTAATGGCGATCCTGCACCGCCCCCGGAACCTGCTCGTCCTGCAGCAGCGGCAGCACCACGGTCCCGCCTTCCCCCTCCGGCCAACGAACTCGATGGCGACGACGCGCATGACAACACACTCATCGAAAATTCGGATGAAGGTAATGCCGCCCGACCCAAATCCGGTTCTGCCACCTTCAGCCTCGCTCCCATTCCCCCCGCTCGTCCCCAATTGCGTTCATCCCTAGTGAAGAGTGATGGTGTTCGCACGCAACTTTTTAGTTTCGAGCGTATCCAAGCTATTGCACGTCACGCCATTTCTGTTTTGCCTTCCAATGGTAGCGAGCAAGCCGCCGACTACCTGCAGCAAATAGTTGAAGAAGCGGAGGAAAAGATTCATTTTCTCTTCACCGCCGACCAACGCGGTTTCGAGGTGGCCAATATGGCCTTGAAGATTAAATACGGCGAAGTGGTGGAGGATAAGAATGTAAAGGCCGCCACTCAAATTGTGGCGGCTAACAAAAAGAGGCCCAACTGCCCCACTCATGCGAGCTCCCGTGGCGACCCTCCTCCTCGTAGTCGAGGCCAAGGAGAGCGTAATTGGAACACGTGGCGTCGTGATGGTGACGGACGTTGTTTTTACTGTCGCGAACCCGGCCATGGGATTGCGGATTGCCCCCAGCGTGGCCAAGGAGCCAATAGGCCCGCTAAGATTGTTTAAAGATTGTGTATTCCTATGGGATTTTTAATTGATACGATCTACAAGCAACTCTATTCTCGTTCTTAAAGATTGCCTCCGTGCACATACCCATATGATTCTAGAAAAAAAAAAAAAAAAAAAAAAAAAAAAAACCAGAGAGAGAGCATTCTGGCATGATAGGCCCGACATAATGCCGGATGGTTACACAGAATGCCTGAAAAAGAGAGAGAGAGAGAGAGAGAGAGAGAGAGAGAGAGAGAGAGAGAGAGAGAGAGAGAGAGAGAGAGAGAGAGAGAGAGAGAGAGAGAGAGAGAGAAGAAGAAGAAAGAGAGAAACAAGGGGAAAAGAAGAGAGCGAGAGACGAAAGAAAGAGCGAGAAGGGGGGAGAAAGAAAAATAAGATACGCATGGGTATCCGTGGCACTAACCCCTTCTCTGTACGTGCCTCCCCGCACCCCTAACCAGAGCTGGACGACCTCGTCGCTCTCGACACTTCACCCACCGACACGCCTCTCATGCGTGGTCGTCTTGGTGCACGGGGCGACTGGTGGGCCGCCTGGTGTGATAGCCGCTTCATCATGTCGGTAATCAAATCCGGCTATCGCCTTCCGTGGGCTTCCTCGGAACCAACTTCCCACTATGCGGCTAATCACTCCGGCGCCATTCAATATGCCGCATTCGCGGCTGAGGCAGTGGCCGAGCTACTAGCGACAGGAGCGGCCCGAATGGTGCCTCCGTCGGAATCCCTCACATGCGTTAGCCCATTGAACGTGGTCGTCCAACCTTCTAAGAAGAGGCTCATATTGGACCTTCGACATGTCAATACATTCCTGTCCGTTCCTCGGTTTCGCTACGAGGGCCTTAACCGGGTGGCCGACCTGGTGCATCAAGATGATTGGCTATTTACCATCGATCTGAAGGCCGGATACCATCATGTAGACATCCATCCGGCCTACTGGCGGTTCCTTGGTTTCACCCTCCACGGCCAACGTTATCAATTCCTATCCCTGCCTTTTGGACTGGCCACCGCGCCGTTTGTCTTCACCCAATTAATCAAACAGCTCGCAAAACGTTGGCGCAGTGAGGGCATCCGGCTTATTCCATATGTTGACGACATCCTGTTTATAAACGCCACTCGAGCCGAGGCCCTTCACAATCGAGCGCTCGTCTTGGCCGACCTCACATCGGCCAGATTTATTGTCAACTCAAAAAAATCACAACTCGAGCCAAGTCAGTGCCTCAAATTTTTGGGGCTCAGGTTGGACACGCGCACAACCTCATTTTCCGTTGATGTCGATCGGCGAGAGCGATTGCTGGCTGAGCTCACACAAACTTGCACGCTCGGCGAACGAGGGCGGCACATCCCGGTCCGACGTGTCGCTCGCATCACCGGCATGCTCGCCTCTATGGCGCTCGCCCTTGGCACTCTCGCGCGCGCCTTTTCTCACAATCTACTTTCTCAAATCTCGGACTGTTCATCCTGGGGAGCGTCAGTCCTCTTGACCGCGGAGTCCATTGATGAGTTGCGTTTCTGGCTCTCGCAGTTCGATGTGTTCAATGGTTCGTGCTTCCACAACCCACATCTATACGACATCGTCATGTATGTGGACGCGAGCGACAGCGCTTGGGGGGCTTGTTATTCCGCACCCGATGGTCGCGTTGGTTCGCTTTCATCCCGCCTACCCCAGGATCTTGTTGCCTCGTCTAGCACGCTTCGTGAACTCGCAGGAATTCTCTGGGCCCTCTCCAGTTTTGCTGACGAGATTCAGCGTTGCCACATCCTCCTTCGCAACGACAGTCAAGCAGCCTACTATATTTTGAGAAAAGGGGGCTCGCGTCACGTTGAGCTGACGCTTATATGTCGGGCCATCATTCAGCTTTGTGTGCGTCACAAGATTCGCCTTACAGCTCAATGGATCCCGCGCGAGCTCAATACCGAGGCAGATACACTGTCAAAAATGGAACTCCACAACGACTACTCTCTCGCACGTCCTTGGTTCCTTCTGCTCGAGCGGCGCTGGGGGCCTCATATCGTCGACCTGTTCGCCTCACCCGCTAATGCACAGCTAGCTCGTTATTGCTCCCTGGAGTTTACTCGAGAGGCCCTCGCGCAGGACGCATTTTCAATTAGCTGGGGGGGGGAGAATTGTTACGCATTTCCCCCACCACCCCTTATCCCCGCTGTTCTCGCCCACGCCCGCCGCTCTAGAACCTCCCTCACCCTAGTTCTCCCTCGCTGGCCTAGTGCCTTTTGGTGGCCACTAGTGCACTCAGATCGTTGGGCTAGTGGCATCGCCGCAACCCTTAGTCTTGCCTCTGGAGCTGACTGTTTACGTGTCGGAAGTGATCCTTGGGCATTTAGTGGGGCTGGTCTTCCTAACTCTCCTATGTACGCGCTTCGCATAATATTTACTAATAATTAATGCTTCTCGTTGCGCAG